ATAGTGAATGTCAATGTTATAACAAGCTTAGATGCAGGACTGGTGTCTTGACGGATTTCTTTCTTCATTTAAGTGGTGATCGATGAAGTTTTGTTAAAGGTCGGAAGAGGTAGTAGATGTGTTCATATTTGGAGGTTAATGGAGTTTAGAGGACGTGTAGGCTACAACACTTAAAATCACAACCAAAGCCTACAGGGTACAATCCACGTAAGCAGACAATGCTCCCCTAAATGCTCTTAAAATCTAGATGGGCAGCCTCAATACCACCTAAGCCTAGGCGTACGCCTAAGCGGACTAGGCGGATGTTTTTTAAAACAGTGGTTTGTATTTTAGTATTTATGCATATTTGATTGAGTATATATATTTATTTTTAAGTATCACAATTAAAAAAAATAAAAAATAAAAAAACGCCCCAAAACAACTTAAGCGCCCGCCTAGGTGTTTAAGCGCTGGACACCAAGTCCGACGCCTAGAAGCGCCCAACATTTAATGTAACATTGCATTTATGATATTTTTTTTGTTTTTCAGTAAGTTTATTCTGAAGTAAAGAAATTTTTTCAGAGAAATTGGGTATATACATTCTCTCATAATTTAGTAAGTCGGGAAAGTTATGTAGATCTTTTAGAGTTTTAAAGTTATCTTTGAACTTTTTGATCTTTGTAATAATATGGTCTTGCAATTCTATATGACCACTTTCAATTCTTTTCCCTAAAAATTTGATACCCTCTTTCATTAGAGTTATCTTTTTAGAGGATAGAATAATACTATTATCGAACAATAGTTATGCTACTGCTATGAGGTGTTCTTTGTGTACTTCCTTAGTTTTAGAGAACACAAGGATGTTGTCTTTATAGACAACAATAAATAGTAAATACCCAAAAATGCTATTCATCCATTTTTGAGATATTTGAGGAGTATTTTTTAGGCCAAATGGCATAACATTACATTCATAATGTCCTCCGTTTGGACAAATGAATGTCGTTAGCCTTTTACTTTCTTCATCCTTTATTTTGATTTGCCAGAATCCTGATTTTGCATCAAATTTACTAAACTATCTGGCATCGCGAATCCTGTGTAATAGCACTTCGCTATTAGGGATGAAGAATCCATCACATTTAGTAACTTCATTCATCGTTTTATAGTTAATGACCACCCTTACCTTCCCTCTCTTATGCTCGGCATTGTTTTTGACCATGCAAGAAGGAGAGGAACGGTTTGATTTTGTTTGTTGAATCAAATTGAGTTTGAATAGCTCTGCTATTTGAGTTTCAAACTCTTTTCTATCTTCAAGGCTAGCCGCTATAGGATTAATGCTGATATTTTCCCCTTTGTACTCATTATATATATATATATACATATATTTATAACTCCTATAAACTTAAGTGGATATGAGCTCTTTGTTAACCAACTTTTTTATCCATTGATTTTGCATTGAGATTTGTGCTAGCATGTGGTATAAATGAAGGCACAAATCTCAAAAATATCCTTGATGTGAAGCATAAATCCCAAAGTATAATGAATGGATAAAAAGTTTAGTAGACAAGTGCTCCTATACACTTAAGTTTATAGGAGCTTTACTCTCTCTCTCTCGCTCTCTCTCTCTCTCTCTCTCTCTCTATATATATATTATACACGCACATCAAACAAGTAGAATTTTCAAACTTGCCCCTCTAAATTGCATCCAAATTTAACCTAGAACCTATTATTTTATTCATTAGTTTTCTAATATTATGCATATACACTATTTAGTATATATAGCTATCGAACAAACGTGAAAAACAATCCTTGTAAGTCTTATATAATATGCATAATTAATATTAATTAATACAGAAAAAACATAAAATATGTTAAAGCGATATTTTATGAGATGTGATTAAACGTACCAATTTAAATATTTTATGAGATGTGATTAAACGTACCAATTTAAATATAACCTAAATAGTATTGAATGCATAGGCAAACATTTAATATAATACAATATTATTTCTCATGAATCTTTCTTTCTCAACAAAACCTTTCACGGCCCGTGACACCTTCAAAAGCATATGTAACTGAATTATTTAATACCTTCGAATTTATTGCCCTCTCTCTCAAAGTGAGACCTTACAATGCCCCGAGATAAAAAAAAGCTGCCATGAAGAAGGGCGAAGATGAAGAGAATGTGGGTTTTTTGATGAAGGAGAAGAATGGTAGCGTTGTTCCGGCTGAGCTTCACAAACAAGAGACGGAGGCTTACGGAGGCTTACATGGCGTATGCGATGTCTGTTGCTGAGATGAGCATTGCCTGATGTTCAGGACAGGCTGAAGCCGGTTGACAGAAGGATACTGTAAGAAAAAGGGTCTCTTTGTTGCAACATGCAAGTAGTTAGTTGCTTTATTTAGTTTACTTTTTTGTCCATAAAATTTTTTTATGTTTTCCTATCTAGAAAACATACATAATCATATGATTTAGACTTTTAGTTAATTAGCAGGTCATTGCGCGTGAGAAAGCCATACAAGAAATGCGCTAGAGTTGCAGGGTAGGTATATGTTATAACAATGTTATATTATTACCAAAGTGAAGTAGTTTTGTTTTAATTTTTAGAATTATTATCAACAAAGTTATATCTTGTGTTGCTTAACAATTAACCATGCAATCTTCAGCTTTTAGATATGTTCCACCCCCATGGAGACATTGTCGTATACAAATCTTTAGTGAGAATGGCACAGGTATACATGTGAAACCATCGTATCTTGAAATTTACTTTTCTCATTTACGTTGTTGATGTCTGAAGAATAGAATTGCAATGATTTACAATCAACATGTGTACTACGGGTAATGTGAATTATGCTAGAGAAACTTTAAATCCCATAAAAAGATAAAGCTTGCATACTTTTTTAACCATTCATCATCAAGTTTTACTCAGAAAGTGACTATAAACTTTTGTATTCATTGTTTTACATATTAACAATGAATAAATGACATATGTTGTTGAACTTTAATGTGCGAAAAAACTTTTTTTTTTTCGAGAAAAAAGATGACGGGTTCTAGAAAAACCCCTAGCCATGCCTTGCCCAAAAGAAGGTTGTTACGAGCTGAACCAGGCAACCCCCAACTCCAAAAGGAAACCTGTCAACTGCCTAGGTTTCTCACTGTATAAGCTGATATCAGCATAATTTCTTTGCTGAACGTTTGTTAGAACTATGATTCTTAATGTATAAAGATGAACAGCTTTTTCCAAAAAAATTAAGTTTTAAATTTAATTACAACAAAATCTTATTATGTTTATTTATAAAAAGAAACAGCCAAACACACATTTATCATTAACTAGAGCTTAAGGCAACATAGATTTATGGGTTTAGTACGGCGACTATGATCAAATGTGACATGTTTTGCATGTCTATTATTCTAAATAATTATAATACATAAAACAAAATAAAGTTTCATAGACTTTTCATAGACTAAAGTTACAAAAACAAACATCTTAAATACTTATGATTTAGCCTTATGCTAAATTTTTTTTGCTAAATTAAAATCCATATTTAATGAAATTGGTTGCATGGAATTACAAAAGGTGGATCTTGGCTTTCTCTTCAATTAAAATAAACTACATGGAGTGCTCAATAAATAAAACCAGTTAAAATATAGACTTTTGCTTAGAATTCCAGAGGTAGAGTTGTAACTTTCTCTCAATTAAAATAAATTGTCTCATGGATAATGCTTTAAACACCAAACCACATGGATAATGCTTGAAACTCCAAAGATTCAATGGTAACAAATACCATTAATCTTGGATCAATCCGACTAATGAATAAAATTCATGAAAAACAAAAGGCCACATCAGATTCATGTTTTCAAAAGCACCTCATGAAGTGATATAGGCCACAAGGTATGTATAGGTAACTATTATGACGTATAATGTGGAAACAAATATGATACTAGGCAATATATTTTGAGAACACAGAATATCTATATTTTCAACTCCATTAAGTTAAATGGACATTCACAGATTTAGACTTTGCAAAAAACGTTGAATTAATGACTTTGGAAACAATATGTGTATGACTTAATATGACCTTGAATACTTTAAATCTTTTTTGCCCCTTTGACTTACTTCAATATAAATTAAATGTCCACATGCAACGCATGTGCACCATACTAGTCTTTAGTAAATGAGCTTCAGTCAAATAGCTATAACGTGTAACAAAATTCAACGAATTCATCAGGATGAGTTACATAATCAACTAATTAAACAACAATTGATTCCTAAAAGAGTTCGCTGGTAACTATCTCATATTGCAGTTCCCAAGTCCAGAACCGAATGCCTTTTCCCTTCACCGGGGATCCTTATTGACAGGAAAGCCGAAGGCCAGTTCAAATTTGGCACCTTCATTTCAAATAACAGGCTTCTCATGGTATCACCTAACAGACCACTAGATGTTCACTCCAGCTTCAGTAAAGGGAAGAGGTGCACCTAACCCGCCTACCCACTCATGATATATCCTGCTTCTTAAAGGAAAGGACTATTGCTTCATACTCTTAGAAATATGATATTTTCATTTATTTCTACTCAATGCAGTCATTAGAATGTCGGACGCAAACCATTATTTAATGATTGAGGAAGTCATCCTTCGCGTGAAGTTAAAAAACAAATCATTTATCAATGTATCAAAGAAGGGGAAGAGCATGTGAGATGTGCCAATATGCATAGATGAAGATGCAATTAACTCCTAACTTTTGTGAAACGTTCATCTATGGAGTCTCTTTTCTCTATGAACATGCTGTATATTTATAAATTAGAAAAAGGTACAAGTACACCTGAAAATTTAGCCTCTAACAATGTCATATATACAAGTCTTTATAGTGATTTTTCACTAAATAAGATAAATGTATTCTTAATATGGCTATAAGTAAAAGTATGTTAACATTAAATAAATGAATATATGCTTCGCAAGACACAAAATAATTCATGCATGTTGGAAACTTGAGACTTTGAAAAAAAATAGCCTAAGAAGCATACCTGAAAACACAATTGCTCCACCGCTCAAGCATGTCCCCAAGGTTGACAATGAACCCTCTGGACCAAAAGGGAAGAAAGTTCACTTAAAGTGAAAAATAATTTTCGAACTAGTTTTCATCTCGTGCAATTGATTACATGAGATACAAATTAAAAGCAAATTTAAATCTGGCACCATACAAACATATGGAAAGAAAGAAGAAAAAAAGAGAGAAGGCCTAATATGACCTCTGATATTTAGAATTACAACCACATAAACACACAACAAAACTCAACTGTCTACAACAGTGCTACAGTATCAGATCTTTGGTTAAATCTTTCAAAATTTCGTGTCAAATCAACATTGTCCAGTTTAAATCATACCCGAGTCAGGTTCCAACCTAGTAATATTAGTTTCTTCCCATGTATGCATGGATCCTAACTCATGCCCTATGAAGCACCGACACGCGAAACTTGGCCCCGAGTCCGCGTCCGACACGCATCGGACATGGACACGCGTTCGACACGCGATCAACGCCTCCGACAAGCGTCAACGCCCCGACATGCCCCCGACCCGTTCCCGACACGGCTGAGATTTGCGAACGAAAAAGAAAACCCGAAACCCAAACCCAAACCCTAATTTCTACACTTACCAGAGTCCTGACGCTG